TTCATGCACTTCATCTCCATTACAAAGCATCAAAGACGGTGCTCTCAAACACAGCTGACGCCAGGCTGGGTTAATAACCATGTTGGCTACCGAGACGTTCAACAACAGTCTTGCCTTACGTCTACTGTATATTTACGAAAACAAACCTCAGCGAATGTATATATCCTACTATGGCGAAGTCTTGGCTCATGAATATCAATTAAGCTTCGTGAATGAAGGCTGTGGAAAAGACGCAAATTAATATTCATGAGATAAACCTTCGCCGTAGTAGGATTGGTACATTTGTTGGCGGGTTTTGAGTAAACTAGAATCTGTAGACTTTCAGCAGTGCAATAAAAATAGTTGATTTAACGTTATTTGAGAAAGACCAACGCAGAGCAAAATACAGTCAGATAAAGCGAAATGCTAACGTACAATGAACTCAAACAATGTGGCATCACTCACCGGGACTTCTGATCTGTTGATCTTTTTAAAACACAGCGAACTTGACGTCTTAAACCCCGTTTACGTGGCTGTTCATATAATACATCCGATATGTATATGTGTTACATGTGAGGCGTTTGACCGTTTAACGTTAACAGATTGTCGTTATTTTAACAGTCAAACCCGAGCGCACGCGGTCGCTGTGTCTCGAGCCCCTCAGAGCGTGATTTGACGAGAGGCGTGCGAAGGGTCCGTGACGGTCCCAAAGAGGCGGGGCCTTGAGAGGTAACCAGAAGTGCAGTGGCCCCCGCAGGTCAATGACAAGATTCACCCTTTTAATTTATTTTTTATTTAACACTGAATTAACATCAAATTAAATTATACCAAATGCTTAAAATTACCCGAGTTAACACAATCATTAAATACTGTATCTCAGTTTGTTTTACCTCACATTATTTTACATTTGCATTATTTGCAAAGAAGGGGGGAAAAATGTTGGTACTAATATTTAAAAAAAAATGATTTCCAGATCTGAAAAAGAAAATCATAGAAATTTGAGAGAGAAAAAAAAGTTTGCTATGCTCGATCACAAACTCTTGGAAAAGTTTTTTCAGAAATTAGG